AAAAAAAAGGAGTTTAAATATCTTACCCCACGGTTGTCATAGAAATAAAAGTGAACCAAAACCCTTCCATTGAACCTTTTGAGAATGGTTTCGGAAAATGTTCTTCGTTCTTTCTGTTCTCCTGTTAAAATAAATTCAAAGGAAATTGAATTTTTGTCTCTCCAGTATTCCTCTCTGTGGATTTTCGCTTGATCCAGGGGTACTTCATCAGAATGATTTCTAATACAAATACAATTCCTTTATTATTTCCCCAAACCTTCCATATCAATTTAAAAGCTTTTTTGTAATTTCTGTGTAATTTATCATTCAGGACTTAGAGCTCCTTGTAGTGCCATTTATCTCCCTCCTCCTTAATYTTTTTATCGATCCGTTTCTCTATTATAGTCTCCCTCACAGCTGCTTTCAGTGTCGTCACGCAACGCTTTCTCCCCTGAGTAGCTCAGGGGAGAAAGCGTTGCGTGACGACACTGAAAGCGGCTGTGAGGGAGACTATTTCTCCATCCGCAACAAACTAAAAAAAATTAATATTGATTAAAAAGGTTAATAATAATTCTCTCCTTCCTCTTTATTCTAGCTGTTTCTCCCTGCGTTCCTTTCCGCTCTCTTTACTCCTTCCTTCAACCTTCAAGAACTTACCAAAAACCAGATCAGACACCCTGTAATGAAAGCAAACAACAGCGACAAAAGCACCAAAGTCCAGTTCTTCCAAATAGAAGCCGCTATCTCACCCACCATCAGCCCGTCGGTAGACGTTGTGGAGAGTACAAAAGCTACGCCAGGTGTTCCAACCAAACCTATGAATCCGTATGGGACCTTGTAAACTTCCTGTGTCCTGTAGCCGGCAACGGGGAAGATTATATCAGTCATTCCATCAATGTGTATCTTTAAAGCTTCCAGATGTTTTTCTTGTGCAGGCATGTTGTATCCATTTAGTTTCATGTCTAGGTAGGATTTTCCATATTCTTTACAATGATGACAACAGTGCAATACCATTTCTTGAGCGATCGATGGAATGATACCCGCGGGGACTGAGTCGTTATCTGAGGCGATGACGTAGGGAGGGAAATGTAACCAACTAGATGACAAACGTTTTTGACATCGACATGTGTCTGGAATAAAACGTCCAAGGAAAAAAAAAAAATTCTAATAGACCATTTTACAAATACGGCGGGCATTTTGAACTATGGGATGCTGAGGGGCAAACGTAGAAAATTTATAAAACATAGAGTGGCGGGGTTGCGTGTCAACTACAAGCAAATTCAGTGTTTTTAGAAGTGATTGTCAGTGTAAAGCATAAAGAAATATAACGAGACACCCTGACAGCTGTACAGTCGGTCTATAAATTTCCTAATGATCGCCCCCTCGGCATTGTGGCCACCGTATCGGTAAAAAGGTCTGTTATCATATTTCTACCATCTTCTTTTGCCGTATACCACAGGGCATTTTAATATATYATATACAGATAACAAATATACTCACCTCCAAAGGTGATAGATAAAGGACCGTCTCCTTTTACCGTAAAACCGGATATTTCCACACGGTATTTCGTATAGATATCAAGGCCACTCAACACAAATTGGGTTTTATCTGCAGGTATTCTGATCTCTTTAGTTTCGCCTTCTTCGATGTCATATTCTCCGGTAGACACTGGGGTGTAGTATAATCGATAACCTAATAAAATCCCCGGTAGACCATGTGGTGGTATTGGCTGCCAAAGGACTGGCAAGGAGCTTGTGGTCGTGTAATTTTCGGCAGTGAAATTGCCTGGGCTCATATATGGTGCTAAAAATAAATGCGATATTAAAATACAATAAACAAACACAATTGAATAATCATAAATAAACGCAGAACTCAGTGCAGCTCTTCTCTAACWRGTGCGAGGAGAGACAACTGCTGTTATAATGAGCAATGCATAACTTAGTCTACAACACAAGTATAAGCATCAGCAACATTCACAGACTCAGTGCAGCTCTTCTCTAACAGGTGCGAAAAAAGACAACTCCTGTGGATGAGCAATGCACAACTGAGTCTACAACACAAGTATAAGCATCAGCAACATTCACAGACTCAGTGCAGCGTTTCTCTAACTGTTGCGAGGAGAGACAATAGATCCTTTTACTTAGGTGTAAAGTTTTCCCATTAAATACCACGTGTCATTTTCTAGAGTATCATTTCCTTGTTTAGCGGTTGCACATGAGAAAACATATGAATATGGATAACTGAAACAAAGAATCTTATTTTTAAGAGAATTACAYGTGGTCTGAAATGGGAAAACGAGCACAATAGTATAAATAAAATAAATAAATGGGATTTAAAGTGGAATTTCCACAGAATGGCTCTTCATCCAATGAAATTCCAATTCGAATTTAGAAGTTGATTTTTGCGGAAGGAGGAAAACCGTAGAACCGGGAGAAAACCCTCTAAGCACAGGATTGAACCAAAAAACAACTCTACTCACATACGACATCGAGCACGGCGGGACTCGAACCCGGATCTTATTTTTGAGAGGCGAGCGCTCTCTACCACTACGCCACCCTTGAAATAGTATATTTTTGCTAAAGAGCGGCAAACTACTGAATCTGTGTATGTAACTGTCAATGGTGCTTATCATTGTGATACAAGAAAACGCCAGGCCAATACAAGGATCGTTATACTAACTATTTTGATCAGTCCTAATAACGCGTGTGAAAGGTGGTCCATCCCCTTTAATTGTAAAGGCCAACAAAGTGATCTCATAGTGAATATAGCTATCAAGATCACGCAGCGTGGTCGAGAACTGGTCTGGTAGAAAGGACTTCAAAGTCGGTGGATCTGATTTGGTTGTATCTCTGTAAGTCATTTTGTAGCCGAGAATGATGCCATTCTTATATCCCTCGCGTACTTCATCCCAGCCTAACCAAATGCTTGTAGGGTCTGGGAGAGTATATATCAGAGTGAGTGGAGGACGATCTGGTTCTGGAAAAGGCAAAGTGTAGGATATTAATTAGCTCTGCTGTCCTTACAATATACGCGTGACCCTTCCCCCGTCCCTAAAATGAATTCAGGGGTTTACGAAAAAGGAAAGTTCAGATGCTGAACTTTTTTTGCCTGCCAGAAGTGCAACGCTGTGGTGCAGGTGTACCGTCCTAATCTATCCTTTGTACTAGTATATGTTTGTTCATTGTTTGTTGTTTATCTGTTACTCATAGCTTAGAACGGAAGCTTATTATTGATTGGTTTAWATTTGCTTTTGAAAACAATGACCGGCGCTATTTTCAAGTTTTATAAACTTTTCTTTGTATCCCTTGACACACTTTACATCTTGGCTAGAACATTAAAATCGGTTGGATAGAATATGATTTTCCAGTATACTTACTGTCTTCGTTCGTTCGGGTTACGACCACAGCACTTGCGTTACCATCCTTGTTAGTGACTGCGACAACGTAAATAGAATATTCCACGTACTTGTACAGATTTGTTAGGTCAGCGCTTGTTTCCGTTAGTCCTACAGTATGGTTCAAAAGTTGCTTGGTGAAAGGAGTGTCGAGAGCACGATAATATACTCGATAGCCTCGGGCCACGCCCTTTGTCAGCCTTGGGTCTATCGGTTGCCAGGAGACTCGAATAGACGTGGAACTCAAAAAATGTGCTGTCACGTTGAACGGTGTATCTTGAGGAGCTAGAACAAACAAAAATGATCTGCTGTGAGAATGAGATGACAAACCAAGTATTTTATAATTTTGATTTCTTTTTGAGTTATTTCTAGTGTATAGTGCCATAGCAGGGTACGTTTGAAGTTCTGTAATTGGACTCGCCTACTATAGAGTTCCTAATTGTACTCGAGATCGTGCGATTTCCCATACAAACAAACCTTGTTCGTCTGTTGTTACTCTGACTCTAGGAGACCACGGACCAGGACCAACACTCGTAAAAGCTTTAACCTGGACAGTGTAATTAGTCCATACGTCCAGCCCTGAGATCACGGTGCTTAATTTATTGTTGCCTTCATTGAGGACGGCATTGGCTTTGGTTGTCCCATTCATTTCAAAGAGAACCACTTCGTATCCTCTGATTATACCATTTTCTAGACGTACTGGCATTGTTTCCCACTGGATAGTTAAGGTGGTTAGTGTTGGGTTAACTGAAGATACTTTGGCGGGTCCGTCGTCTGGAACTGAATTTATATAAAAGAGATAAATGAAGTTAGCCATTGATAGACCTCTTTACCTTAATATATTGTTTTTTTTGTTTTTTGTTTTCCATTTCAGACCACGTGTCATTCTCTTGAGAGCAAGATTCTAGTTTAAAGGAAGCCCTGTTAAATTTAGAGTCAGAAACAACAAATTTCAAGTAGCATTAATGAATGCTGAATTCAACTATGATACTTCTTTGACATCGATCTTAATATGATTAACCATAAATATATAGTATTTCTTTACCTTTTTCTTTTTCATTTTTCATTAACACTAGAGTTAAGTTGTAGTAAAATTATAGAAACTAAGGCAGATGTATAAAACCAGATTAAACTAGAAAACTAACCATGATTTTCGTTATTGTAATGACTTACCATCTTCTGCTGTCCTGACAATCACAGGCTCAGAGAGATTACCATCACCCTTCACGGTAAAGCCCAGTATTTGGATTGAATAAAGTTCATATTTTTCAAGTCCAGTAAGCTCTGTGTGTCGTTCCGTGTCGTTTATTACAGTCTTGATGAAGTTACCAGTGTGGCTGGCTTTATAGTGTATTTTGTATCCTATGATAATGCCATTTTTGTGTTTTTGGGGTATTTCATTCCATGTTGCTTTAATAGATGTGGAGCTCGTATTATGTGCTGTGAGATTCAAGGGAGGATGACTTGGAGCTGAAAGAAATCAGATGGCAAGTAGAAAAACGAGCGTATTTGTTGGTTTAGAATGTTTGACAATTTCGTATACCCCATTCACACCTAAACTTGTTTAGTTAAACTATGTTTTCATTAGAAAAAAAATTGAGAAACTAGAAACCTACAAAATAATGAAACTTTCTAAAATATTATCAGAGCAAGACAAAGAATAGTTTAAATGCATTATTTCACCAAATATTGCGCAGTGTTCGTAGATAGTTTTTCAAACCTGTTTAGTTAAACCTCTTTAAAACATGTTTAAGCTTTGGTGTAAATGGGGTAGTAGATTATAGGCACACCCGAATCGAAATATGGCGACCAATTTGGATAACTATTGTTCTGTACTTGACTAGCCTCGTGTTGACATGGAAACATAAAAGCGTTTTCTCATGTACGAGAGGCTAGTCAGTCCAGAACAATGGTTATACGAATTGGTTACTATATCTTAATTCAGTGTACAGGTCGTTCTATTATAGGTCTAATATGTACGTCCTTAGCCTTGCTTTCATGCAGCTCTTATCTGCGTGGTTATTAAGGAAGGCCTATCAAATCGAACACTTGCAACTTTAATTACCAATACAAAAAGGAGATGCATAACTTTACGGTTTTCATGCGTTTATTTTTTTTATAAAACATGACAAAAATTACCATTTGATCGATGTTGTAAAAGTTCGCTTTGAATGGTCCTTTCTTAGTACCTACGCGCATATGAGCTGCATGAAAGTCAGGAAAAGTACGTCATGCATAAATATGTAATAAATAATTAAAATAATTAAAAAGCTACGATGTGCAAACTCGTCACCCGTGTTAATACGAACAYCCCATTATTACGAGCACAGGTTTTTGTCCTAGTGACGTGCATTTTTATTAATAGAGAGYTTTATATCGACTTTTTTTCCTTCCCGCAAACGACAAACGAGACCACTTTTAATCGTTTTCCTGTGTTTTTTACTTAAGCTTTTGCAATCTTTCTCACCACACACAAAATTTCTTTTGTTTTCCTACTACTTTGATTTTTTACGATTCCTTTTTAGTATTTTAAAATAAATTTTCACTGGTCAACTGACGTTTCACGTTCGCCGTAAACGTAAATCTTAAACTCTCTATTTTAAAAATAAACCGCCCCTGTTAATATAGGCGGTTTTGCTAGTGACGTCCCCTTGGCGTCTGTATTAACGAGGTTTGAATTTATTTAAAATATCAAAGGTTTGAAAGAAAATGCGCGACTACTTACCATCTTCGGCAGTAGTTACATTGTAGATGGGACTTGGAACTCCATTTACGTTAGTTACTGCTAAAATCTGTATGCCATACTGAGTAAAGGGTTGGAATCCTGTCAGTTGGGTGGACATTGTCCCGCTAGGAACCGCTCGCTTCTTTCGACTGGGATTACTTTGTGCACTACAAAAGAATATCATAGTGAATATTTTGTATCTAAATGTTTGGGGAACAGGAGTGGGGTGGTTTTGTTTGAGGAAAGAGCAAGAGCGAACGGGTGGGCGGCTGGGGGATGGGGGTGGGGGATTTGGTGGAGAGGGGTTTGGAGGCCGGGGAGGTGGAGGAATAATTAACTTCGTATTCAAACAAGCATTCGTGCATCTAACCAGGTTTACTCATGCTTGTGGTTAAACGATTATCGGAAATTTGTTGCCGCATAATGGTCATCAGGATTTTTAAATAATACTAGCTATAACAAATAAACTCACATGCCGTTTTAAAATGGGCATCGAATGGAAATTTGAATAGAAATCGAATGGAAATCATTCATTTCATTATGAGACGGTCTCATTTGAAGCTCTTGAATCACAATTTTCTTAATCTTTAATAAACGATACGGCGTCCATCTTGGATTACAAGGCAAAATGTGGTATCCAGGGGGCGAAGGGGCGAATAAAGTTTTCTTACAGTAATGACATTTTAAAAAGCTCTTCACAAGAGAATTTAACAAGGGATGA